TGACTGTGGTCTTGTTGCACACATTTACACGCCTTGAAGCAGCACGGCAGATATCCTTCTGAAGTCTGCCGTGCTACTGCTAAAACGTATACAGGCTGTCATTTTACTTTAAAGCTCTTAGGTTGCGAGTCATTTATTGAGATATTCATTTCTTTTAATCGAATCTATAACCCTCGTAATCATAAGGAAAGCCCGACGCTGGTAAGTTAACTAAAAATCTACCCTTTTGTGTACGAAGCAAACTGTTTAGTTCGATGTCAAAAACAAAAGGGGGGGTCTATCGAACTTCTTCTAAGGTGGAAGATGGAGGGAGAAATAAAGTCAAAGCTCTTCAATCCTAGTAAGACACATCATTGTATTTAATTAAGCGGATGGTTGCGAATTAAATATTAATATCTTTATTATAATTAATTTCCGCATAGTAACGTCTGATTCTATCAATTATCTAATAAAGTCATATTTTCTGCGCTTGACTCCTGTAATCTTAAACTACCGTTAAATGCAATATATGTGCACAGAAAACACAGCAATCTAATCGAAACGACATTTAGAACATTAAAATTATGTTTCATTCCCAGAGAAGTCTACGCCATTGATTACATCATACTCGTAGTGGTGATGTTAGTCGGGGATGTCAGGTTGTTATGAGGAAGATGGCTCTGCTGCTGTCTACTTTCCCTCTGCTCTGACGCCTCTTACTTCACCCAAGTGATGATATGGATGAGTGGGTATTTTAACACCGCTACTACACTATTTTTTATTTTATTTACTTACTAGTAACATCAATTTTTATTTATATTATGTTTGCATTACTTGTGAAATATTTACCTCGAAATGTCAGAGCTCGGTGAGTTAACAATAATAATAAATATAATAAATATCTTGTAACTACTGCATTAAACACCATAACATAACAATTATTGAAGTTTTTAATGTGAAACAAATCGTATGTAATTTGACATATCCTTAGTATATTTTACGAAATCATATAAATTCACAGAAAAACAATAATTGGTTTTAGTGTATCCTTATGTAATTATTTTATTTTAACGCATTTTGTCTATAGCTTGTGCCAGTATTTATTATTTAAGATTTTTGGCTTGGATGCTTGTTCTTTAAGCCATGTTTTTATTTCAATCAGGTTCTTGGTTTTTATAGATTTTTTCTTCACAATACGCTGACGCGTCACATTGCGAATTTTTTTGGAGTTTTTGACAACAACTCAACCCAGCGGACAGTCGATGACGACAATCACTCAAGTTCATAAGGTGCTTTAGCAATTAAAGTCGCGGACAATACACAAAATCGCATCACTTATACGTATCAAAAACGACTTTAAACCATTATCAGAACGATGAAACAGGAGAAACAATCCGTTGACGGTCAAGTTCCCGCCAAAACTCCTTGAACCCAGTGTGTGAATAAATAAATAAAACAAATAAATTAAATAGCCTTTATTTCTACTACAACACAAACTTGATTTATGGTTAATCTAGTTTGTAATAGTATGGTATAATTAATATATACTTTTTTATTTTATATGTAGTCGCCTCTGTGGCGTAGGCCTCTCCAAAACCTTTCCGTGGCCGTGCGAAGTTCATCAAAAAAAAAAAAATATTCGAGCGCGTCATGTATTCCGAAGATATGTTAAGTACACCCTAAAGAAACTCCTATTCAAAAGACTGACAATTTGGAAGCGACCAAAACTCTTTTCAAATTTTTAAAAATGCAAAAGAAAATCGTGACCTTGAAATACTCGAGCGCGTCAGATTAATAAATGGACAGTTCAGCATGGTGTCCTTGTCTTGCTGACCCATAATCCGACAATTATGTGGAGGAAATTCTTCAATCTGAAGGGTTTAAAAAAGCTTTACATTAAAATGAAAATAACTAGAAAACAATGCGAAATTCCAAAAAACATTATTTATGATAATTTGTAAGAAATAAAATTACCTACAAAAAAAGTTCCTATGACATTTTGTGATAAGTCTGATAGTTTCGTCGGAACAGAAAAAAGATCTCAAAATTTACTTTATATTTGACTTCAAGCTCAAATAACTTTTGAACAGATAGATTTATCAAAAAATGTCAAAAGACATTTTTGTAGAGCGTTATAATTACCTACAAAAATATTTATCGCACATAAAAAAAGGTTTGAGAGATAGAATATTCTTAAAAAAATCCCGTGTTATTCAAACGAGAAATAAAAATCGACTTCTAAATGGGTATGGCTCTGGTTTTCACAGACGTCTTTTTTCGGAATATATTACAATGCGAGATTTCAAACAAAAAAAGTAGATTTTTTTGAATCGGTCCTAATATTATGATGAAGAAAAAAACGTTGAAAATATAATTTTAATCTTCATCGTCGAGAGATAGAGAAAGAGTGAGAAAGGAAGAGAGGCGCGAAGTGGGAAATACAAGAAAATAAAAATAAAATTAACCGCGCTCAAGTAAATATAGGTGACGTTTATATTTTACAACTTTGTGACTCTCCTATTTCCTTAGGTTGACCTAAGGAAATAGGAGTAGTAATAGGAGTGCAAATCGTCACATTATTGAAATACACACTTTTCTGCATGTAATTAACTCACCTTGCCTTAATCTGACGCGCTCGAGTTTTTCGACCTTTCGATTATTTTTTTACTATTTTGATCGGCTGCCCTAAGCAGATGTTCCTATATAAAGAGCTCGCATTTGTTGGGTGCAAGGTTTCCCCCTTCATGTTATTCAGCCGCGCTCTAGTAAACCTGAAATCCCCGCTTGGACTCTCCTACAAGGTACGAAGGTCAACGCCATCTTAGACCATACCGGGGGCCCCCAATGGGATACACAAGAATTTGAGGCCCGGTTGGAAAGTAAAGAAGTGTATGACAAAATATATTTAAGCTATTGCATAGCTTCTATAGCAGGCCTTGAGCGCGGGGACCGAATCCAGAAATTCCGTAACGAAAAAAAACCTCACGCTCCCCACTCCGACGAGCACGGAGGTGTGGCGTTGAAAGCCGTGCATCGTCTAACGTCGTTTTAGTTCGGCAGACTTCGGCACTCGGCAGACTTCGGCACGGTGTTTGTGTGCGTGTACTCTAGCTGCTAACTCAATGATAAAAATTCCTGAATAATCTACATGTATTGTAAGATATTAAAAATATTTTAAACAATATTAACTTCTCATTTATTCAATAAGAGAAAAAAAATTGTTTTCTTATCGGTCACCACGCTCAAAAAGTGTAACTTGATTTAATATCAAAGACTTAACTGCATAAATAAAATAAAGAAATAATTATAATTGCATAAGTTGATAAAAAACGCTATGCAATAGCTTTACCGCGGCAGTCACCGAGTGCCACACGTATTTTTTTTTGGTATGGTCTAATCTAATATTTGTTATAGTTAATTGGTTAAAATGAAATAATATGTCATTAATGAGGGCATCCACAACTTTTTCCGTAACCAGGGTGGCGCTACTTTACAATGAGGTAAAATATTTGACAGATATCATTACGTGGACGATAATTTCTTAGGAAAATGTAAGCTTTAATGTTTTTTCTTAAACTTTTTTTTAAAAAAAGAAAATATTCTATAACAACATCAATAGGTACGTGTATTCTTTTTATTTATTACAATAAAATTTAGGCTTCCCTTGTCTAAAAATAAGGATCATAACAATTATTCGCTATAAAATCTAATATTTGTGTTTAAAAATTATCTAAATCCTTTGCCGTGATTGAGGTATAATGTACGTATATGTACATACTTGTATATACGTAATCTACGTACATTATAAGACCGTTATTGAGTCATTGAGCATAATACGTATGTACATACTTGTATATACGTAATCTACGTACAATGATGACAAATGATACGGCAAATGATTTAGATAATTTTCAAACACAAATAATATTTTATAGCAAATAATTGTTATACTACGTTCATTATAACTCAATGTTTGCCGTTAAATCTATTGAAGTGTTATTTTTATTAAGCAGTACGAAATGATATTTTTATCTCATATATTATAAATACACAGATTGCCGCAATTTAAAAAAAATCCAGACTTAAGTAAGGCGATTGTACAGCCCGACAAAACATTTAGATGGCGGCGAAACGCGAAACTACGTACTTTCTACGTAGGAAAACTTTTCTGTCTGAAACTCGGCAATGTGTGGATTGTCAATGCTCAGGGCTGCCATAAAGTCACTAAGCAGTAACCACAAGCCCTCAATTACTCCATTTTTTTTCGGGTTATATTTTAGAAAAAAGATTGCATAGCGTAAGTGAATAAGGTCAATGCCTTTAGTCACAGGGGCCCCCGTGACGATGGGGCCCTGGGCACGGGCCCCGTGTGCTCTTATGATAAAGACGGTACTGACAAAGGTGCCGTGTGCCCATGGATTAAACAAGCAGTGAGGACGGCCAAACCTCAACTTTGTAATAGGTAAAATTGATATTTAAATCTTTTTATAATTAGTGAGTACTATATAAGGTATATTGAAAAGAGTAATATAATATCTGTGTCTAAAACTATGGAGAGTAAACTATCATACGCCTTTTCTTTTTCTTCGATCCCTTTTTTTAGTTGCTTATATCTACGATTTCTATGGTTTTTATTGTTTTTCAATTTTCGTTTCCAACTGTGTTGTTTTATTTTCAAAAATAGTAAATTTTTCGTATATGTTATTATTTATAAATTATTTGATTTTTAGCTTCATCTCTTTCATTTCGTTCTTGTTTTTGATATGTCCTCTTGTATATTTCGTAATATTTTTCTTCTTCCATTATAAATATAACAATCACTCCATCTATTGGGATTGCAACAGAATGTTTAGTATTAATTGCTTACGCTTGCGCAGGGTTTGAATCTTATCTTGTAGATAGTTTTGTTTCTCGCCGATAGACGGCGCTATTGCGAATATTTTGATAGTAATCATTTTTAATTTTTCCAGAGAGTAATTTAAAGTTATAACATGAACAAGATTTTCCAAACCGCTTTTTACCTCTATTCTTATTTTGTATTTCAATAACCGGCTTAGCTGTTGGCTTTGTGTGTTGATTTTTCATTATTTCACAATAGAAGCATCTGGCTTTGAGTTTAACTGTCGGCGGTTTTTCGGATATCTGTACGTGAATATAAAATTTGTGAAGCACATAACATTTGTATATAAGCACCAGTAAACACGAGCACAGTTGCGCCATCTTTCATGTAGATTATATACCACAGAATAACTAAAGCACACAGAACCACAGAACATTTTTACTTTTTACAATATACTAATTGCTTTGTGCATTTAAATATCACAAAGTAACTACTTTAAATTAATTAACAACAAACAGTATTACCACAGAACACAATATCAGTACCGATATCCTACATCCTGCATATATGTATTTTTAAATTTTAATTAACTAATGTCGAAGAGAATATTTTAGTAAGGCCGCCTGGCACTTCACGGTAAAATAAGCATCATTTTTATATAGCAGACTACTATTTTGTATGCGCGATTGTAAGTTCTTGTATATCTATGTTCTTTAAAAATTTTTTTGAGTTTACCAGCATCACCAGTGTTATTTATAGCTTAATTAATATTTAAATGCAGGCAATGTCAAGTCTAAATTATAATACGCTATAATTTTTTGGCTTATTTTTATTTATCGCCTTTGAAAAAATACTAATTTGTTCTTTTAAACTCGGATTTTACTGCATGTTTTTTTCTATGTAATAAGCGATAGAATATTCTGAAACGATTTTAATTTTTTTTAAATTAAAATAAACTAAATCTCAATTTAAATATGACCATATTAAAATTTGATATAAATTTTTTACTCCTGCGGTGAATCCTTCGAATTAGTCCATTCTTAACGGTAAAAAAAAATAAAACTTTGAATCAAACTTTAATTTATAATATTTGATATAGCCCAAAAACTAATATTAAGTTGACAGCACTGAACCTCTAACATGACATTACGGGCAATAAAATTACGTGTAGTACTATTATTTATTATCTGATGTAGTGCACAAACGCCCTTAGTTTGTAATTATCTAAGGTAAAATAATGATTCGAGGTAAGGTTACACGCCGTAAAAGGCAAAAAAACAAACAAACCCGAAACTGTAATATGTTTTCTGCAAACATCATACTAGGCTTTTTGGATACCTATGTTTATTAAAAATTAACTTTTATTATTTTTATTATATTATAATATGTATTTCTACTTTTTGATTTCGTCCGCTGGGGCCTGGTCATTTATTAGCTTACGCCACTTTTGAATAATTTTACTATATTTTGAAATGTGGTGAACGTTGTGAGCTTCTCTTCACATCATTATAATCATCATCATCATCATCATTATCGTCACAGCCCTTCACAAGTCCACTACTGATCATAGGCCTCCCAAGGAATGCCACAAAGCACGGTACTGAGCCACCTGCATCCATCGATTTCCTGCATGTATTACCAGGTCGTCACTCCATCTAGTGGGGGGACGCCTTCTCTTTACATACATATTAAAAATCTATCCGTGTTGGAGCACTAGATCTTGCGTAAGCTATTGGCAAAAAAGGGGATTTAAAAAATACAGAGCTATAAGGTTGGGATGCTCGATGTACGCTACAGGCTATCGAGGAGAGATTTGGGACATCTGCTGTTATTGTGTCTCAATAGATAAAAGGGGGCGACTACCCGCTTACTAAATTGGCAACTCACACTGCAATCTAAACTGATTGCGAACCGCAACATTAGTGTAAATTGAGCTTAATATGGTAAGCCCTCTGATACGAAAATAAGCCCAGAAGTAAATTACTATAAGCCTCTTTAAACATATTACCATAGGTAATGTTAAGATGTATTGATTAACTAATCTATTACATTAATTACATTTACAGCAAAGATGTTTTATAGGTATATACCTATAAAACATCTTTGATTTATATAATAGATGCATAGAGAGAGCCTACAATTGTACAAACATTGAGTCAGTATACTTGTCTCGCTTTGTCTAATTTAATTTACAAATAAGGCAAAAAGGAAACACTATTGGAAGTTGTTCCTTGTAATTTATACTTTTAATTAGAGATGGGCCGAATATTAGTTTCATATTCGGTATTAGGCATATTCGGCAGCTTTACAGAATATTCTTATTCGGCTAAATCACCGAATTTATTAAATTAGTACTGAAAGTGTCCACTGTATTTAAATGTACGCATTGAATAATGTCATGTCTTTCATAATTTTACTGTTGAAAGTATATTTTACTTATGGGTTATATCTAATTGTATAGCTTTATGTTTTTAAGGCACTGCACTGCACTGCACTATTTATTTCCCAATTATAGCAAAAAGAATGCTGGATAAATGTTTTTGGAATCAAACAAAGAAACATTACATTAGTCTATTTCACTTTACTTTGTTCGTCAGTTTTTCTAAAATAAGTCCAAATACTTAGTAGATCTCCTGCCACTCTTTTTATCATATATAAATAAATTTTCACCAAGAATAAACAACAAAACACCTTTTATTCTCACAAAAATAGTCAAAACATAAGCATATATATATATATATTTTTTTTTTTGTAAATGCAAATGAGGGTAAGTATACTCGTATCTTCTGATTTAAGTACCAAAAAATTACATCCCTATTGTAGTAGTACCTATTTTGTGTAACGACGTATTTAATTTATAGTGATTTCGTTCTTGTTGTTAGCAAAAACGAGGTCGATATACTCGTTTTTGTTTACAAGTGCAATAAGTCATGATCATGTACATAGATGTCATCGGTGACGCGAACCCATAAGTTTTTCTCCCATTAAAAATCACTCAACACAGCTAAGAAAGTTTTCACTTAAATAAACTGATAAAAACTGAAATTTTTCCTGAACTCTCATTATCCTTTTAGTTTAAATAAAGATATTTTATATAATATGTATTGGCCATATCTTAGAATTAATAATATCATAAAGTAGTCGACCATTGCATAAAATCAAAAAAATAAATCCATTTCTTTTTGTTTCAAGTTCGTGATATCGTTGAATGATGTTATAGTTATTAGCCAGATGTGGTCGCAATCGTACAAACTTTATTTCTTCTTTTCAGTTTTTAATAGTTTTATTGAGATAAATAAGGGAGCCGTGTAGCTCGCCGTAAGATTTCATAGTGCAGGAACATAAAGTGTACGATTGAATAGCAATGAAACTGCTAAAGAAATTTTATTTGCTTATTTTCCACGTGCTCAGTGATGTGGTGAAAGTTAACTTCGCTAGGAAACCTTGATATTAGATTAGTTTTGAAAAAAATCGTGGTCGTGTGAAAACCGCCATTTCGTACTGTGAGTAATTAGGAGATTTACTTTTTTATTTTTAATCACACTTGAAAAACATATATTAAGATAACCTTCGTATTTTCACACACATTAAGATACTTGTGCCAGTACCGGTTTCATAAGTCACATAAGTAACTGAACAGGCTGTTGCGAAAAAGTACTATAAATATCTAAGACAGCAACTTGTAAACGTAGGTTTTTTTATAGAAGAGAAACGAGCGTGCGGCTCACCTGATGGTAAGTGACTACCGCCAACCATGAACAACCGCAACACCAGGGGCATTGCTGGTGCGCTGCCGGCCTTTTAGCAAGGAGTAAGCTCTTTTCTTGAAGGTCCCTAAGCCGTATCGGTCCGGAAAAATCGCTGGTGGTTAACAATTTCACAGAGAAGTTGTATAGAATCTTGAAAGTCACCTATCAAAGCCGGTAATCGAACCGATCCAAACGTAAATTTCATAGTAGGTACGTAAGCAACCCAAATTCGATCTACACCGACACCACTCATATTTTAATCAAGAAAAACATCGCAAACCTGCATATCTGAGAGTAAAAAAATGTATAATAGCATAAACACTCACGCCTGTCACCCAGAGGGGTAGGCAGAGACCACGGACTTCCATTTGACACGATCCTGACATACCTCTTTCGCCTCCTTTACATCCATATATCTACGCATACATGCTCGTCGGTTAAGGGTACTTTTAACGTGGCCCATTTTCAAAATATCGCCAATTTGGTCGATAAGCTTTTTTCTAGGGCGTCCCTTCCCGACTCTGCCGTTCACATCTGCCATATAAATTTGTTTTGTCACTCTTTCCTCATTCATTCTTTCTACACGACCAAACCACCGAAGCATTCCTTTCTTAATCCTGGTCGCAACATCATCTTGCATACCACATTTATCTCTTATCATGCAATTTCTCATCCTGTCATTCAGATTCAACCCTAGCATACTCCTTAAAGACCGCATTTCTACAGCATTTATTCTACTTTCGTGCTTCTTCTGCCACACCCAGCTTTCACTACCATACATTAAAGTAGGGACTAACACAGCATTATGAATTACAATATGTGCCTTTTTTGATACATTCTGGTTCTTCACAATAGAGTGTAGTGCCCCATTCACTCTATTCCCTGCATTTACTCGTCGTTCTATATCCTTATCATATCTACCATCCCTGCTAAATACACATCCCAAATACACAAACTCATCCACTTGCTCAAAAATGTCGGAAATTATTTTTAGGTATATGATATGAAGTCGGTCATCCTGCTTTCGAGTCAACTCAATCAATTCTGTTTTGTCTTGAAACTCACTGCGGCCTATGTCAGCAGTGGGATGTATTTGTGTTTTTATTTTTAATATTGCTATCCACTGCTGATCATAGGCTTTCACCGTTGTTTGTCAAATAGGTCGAATATTTGTAGTAGTAGCCATGCTTGGCAAGCGGGTTCGCAACCGCAGTTTTTTTATTACTTTGCGCTGTTATTAGGAAGATGCTGCCACCTATCTCCTTTTTCAGTTTCCCTCTGTCGTCTCTTATAACAACCACGAGACGAAATAGGGTATTGGCTTCTTATTAGCTGCCTCTACATGGCTAATATATTTCTACTTCCGTTCAGCAATTCGATTTTCCACATAGATTGCCAAACAAGTTGGATATTTGCTAAAGTTGCCGTGCTTGGCAGGCGGGTTGCCAACTGCGTCTTTTCATTATTTTGAACTGTAATCAGGATGACGCTGCTGCCTACTATACTGCCATCTTCTGTATATTTATACTCCCGTTCATGAATAATAAAATACCAGCATCTATTTTATGGTGTCAATCAATATTCAATGGGGCCAATCTTTGAATCAAACATCGCAAATAAGCATGATCATG